GTCAGTGTGGTGCTGCTGTCAGTGTGGTTTTCAATTCTGTTTCAAGACCTTTTGTGTGCTCGCCTTGATTTATAAAACCTCCAGGCTTGGCACAGCAGTGGCTTCACCTGTTTAATCTCTGTCTGTTTGCAGGATTGTTTATATGAATTAAACCAGTGATTTTAATTTGAGGGTTTTTTTCTCTCTTATTTGAGATTTGTGTTGAAAGAGAAATCCAACACCCAACAAGCCATGTGGTTTTTGACCTCAAACCTTGAGCAGGGCAGACTTGAGCATTTTTGGGTTTTTTTTTCTGCATGGATATGCCTTAAACCCGCTGGCTGGTGGTGTCCAGCAGAGACTAATGTTCTAAAGGTGCTCCAGGGTTGTTGGGGCACGGGCTGTGTGTGACCTCCTTCCCTCGGGAAGGGTTTGGACTGATGCTCCCCACCTGCCAAATTTGTCTGTTTGGCAGCCGGGGCGCTCTGGGCCGACGTGGCTATATTTAGGTGTATCCCTCCGTGGCTGAGTTTATGAAGGCTTGTGTAGATTAGGGTAAAAAATTTATTTCACTCCTTGCCAACTCGCACATGTTGGCTGGGACGTCTCTGACGTGCTGCTGGAGATGAGGGAAACGAGGTTAATTCAGCCTGGGCTTGGAGCTCTTTGCAAGGCAGAATATTGGAGCTCCTTGCTTTGCTGCAGTTACTTCTTTGAAGCAACAAAACCCCTGTTTCCTACTCGAGACACTGTAGATCTTTACATGTAATTAATGTTACAGCTGTTGGTCATCGTCAGGTGGGACCCACAGAAAACTCTTCTCCTGCAGTTCCAGCTGGAAGGGGAAGGTAAAGGTTGATGTTTTCCAGGCGTGGTCTTTGCCTCGAGGAGAATTGGATGGGAGGGTAAAAATCCCCTTGTGTGTTTGACTGGAGACAAGTTCAGTTGAAAGGCTCCTGCCCTGGGGCTTAGGCCAGCTTGTAACTAAATGAGAAATAATATCTGTGGCCTGTAAATACATGAAAGTCTCCAAGCAGCGTGGTGCTGTCTGCAGTGACTGAGATGCTGTCTTGGGGGGCTGCTGCTGCTTCTGTTCAGCTCTGGTATTTCCCCAAAGAAATAAAAATATTTTACCCCCGTTATTTGCAAAAGGTTCCAATCAAAACGTTTCACCAAGGGAAACGAGACGAGCTGGGAAAGGAAAGTTTGACACAGGCAAGTCCTCTGCCAAGGAAATGCAGGAGTGAATCTTGAGTGCTCAAAGCAAGGTGGGAAATGACTCCAGGATCTCTGGAGTGTGTCTCGGTCCCAAGTGGCTTCAAACGTGCCCCCAGGAGCTGGTGCAGGTGGTGCTTGTGCAGAGGATGGGTTGGGATCTTGGGGACCAGAGATGCAGCAAATCCTGGGACAATAAAGATTGGGAAGGGCCTTGATTTGAAACTGTGTGAGGACACTGAGGGCACTTGGTGTGTTCAGCTGGAGCAGAGGAGACTGAGGGGAGACCTCACTGCAGTTCCAGTTCCTGGGGAAGG